CTTAAATAATTAATTTATTATTAATGCATTTCTCCTTTACATAAAACCTTTGTATAAAACTTTTACCCACTCTTTTTTTTACAAAGTTTACCAAACTTTGCGTTAAACAAGTACCTCATCAAATTTTCAGGTGGCTCACGCCCCGATCAGCCTGATCGACCCGAAATCCTTTACTCGTCTTGATTCTCTGCAATTTCTATCGCTCAATGTTCCCATAAATTATTGGAACGACGATGTCATGACGCTCCTCTGGCATACCGGCGGCCCCTTCCGCCTCCACCTCGCCAACGTGCAAGACTCCGATGTCGCCGTGGTCGACGAACTCGTAAACCTCCGAATTTTGGGAAGTTTCCAAACCTTGGAGTGGATCGCGCATAAACGCGACAGAGTCTGGATTGAGGTCGAATTTGCGAATTATCAGCAGGAAGATATCCACGCGGAGGAAAGGGCGACAGTTTCACAACAAAGTAAAAATTTTAAGATTGACTGGAAAAACGTTCATGCCGAAATAAACGCCGCAAATGAGGCGGAAGATGACGAATATGGCGAAGAGAAGGAGCCACTTCCGGCTAAATGGGTGCTAAAGGCGGTCTATAAATGCGATTAATACGTAAATGTCAAAATTTGTGTCAAAATTCAAATATGAGGGAATAAAGTTAGGATAGATTTGCATTCGTGTGTTTGTTGTGGGTTGTAAATTCTTGTAAGTCACGTTATAAATTAGGCATTGCTAAGTAAAGTTACAAGATAAGGATGCACTCTTAAGCATAATGTTACCATTTTGAAAATAACTGCACCGTCCATTCTTTGTACATCATGTAAACCAAACTACATACATTCATAAATCTATCTATCTACATATATTCTAGTACTCTTTGTCAAGCTAACGCTACTCTGGATTTAGTTTAGTTAATTTAATTTACATATTCGAAATATTGACAGTTCGTCTGCGTGTCAGAAGATTTTTAAGGGTGCAGACAATAGTGTATATTTGACTTCACCACATTTTTAATAGTGTAGACAACTATCAACTCTGCATTGCACGATACATAAATATTCCACACGTGCTCAAACAAAATTATGCAAACACTACTGCCCACGCTAATGCAAATTTGTGAACATAATTCGATAATTTAACCCGCAATAAGTACTTAAGATTAGTTTGGTCACATAATTCCTACCGGTTCATCAATATTTAGGATGTGAAACTCCTGTGTTTCACAAATTTAAGCGTCCCTTATATTTAAACAAGATATGCAAATGATGACTGACACGACCGTATAGAACTGAAACATTAAACGGAAATGAGTCATGAATCTAAATATGCAAATATTTAGTCACATTAAACTTATCGATTATTATCAAAATATTTCGTCTAATACATTTACATATTAATCAAACGAAATCAAATTTTACAAGCGCAAAGTTGACCATCCTAAATACGATAACTGACTGATTGTTAAGACGTTGAGTTTGAAACAAAAAAAATCAAAAATGTCATCCCTGTTAATTTTGAATTTGAAAATTTTATCTGTTGTTACAGGAATTAGGCTTGTCGTGTATAATTCAACTAAGAAAAAGTTTCTCGCTTCAGTTCATCCTGGTCGTGGGAAAATCGTTCTATTTGTTCTCACCATTATCGCAATTTCAGTAAATGGGATAGTTTCCATTATTTGTGGGAATTTGACTCGAGTTCGGGTCATGTATTGTGCAATTTTTGTCGGAGTTTTTACCCCCTCGCTGGTCGCAGCATTAAAATTCTTGTGGGAACCGGGTTCATTCGTCACTTTGCTAAATATGATGTTCGCTTTAAAGGAGTCACTTCCAACTGGTGAGTAAAATATGAGAAAAAGTGTAGATCTGGAAAATCATTCCCCCTTAATATATTGATAACCAGAGGCTGGATATGTATTTCCAAAAATGACTAAAATATGTGTTTAATACTTTCATGTTACATAAGTAAAAAACGCCAATATACACATTTACTAAATATGCAACTATGCCAGAAAAACATAAGAAGAAATTTCGCAAAATTTATATTTTTACAATAATGCAACATTCAAATATTTAAATAATATGGGAAATATCAATATTTATGTGCGAAAACAGAAATATGTATGTTACAATGCATAAAAATATTTTGAAATTTTACTGATTTATAAAATTTAGAGAACATGAAGTTTGCCCGTTGACTGTCATTAAATTAAAAAGTTTAACATAATGACATACCCAACTTCTGCATATAACTGCTTGCAAATTTTGTTCGTGCTTTTCATGCAAACAATCCTACCTGAAAGTCATGCAATGATTTTTGTACGGTTTTCTAAAGGATTAATTACGTGGGGTTTTCTTAAATGACTTTTTTTGCAGAAAATAACCCAGCCTTAACCTTGTGGAAATTAGGGATCAAATATTGCAACCTTTTATCCACCTTGACGGCAATAGTTTCATCCGTGGTGGTAATAGCGATACCATTATTTAAACCGGAAATGCCACCATTTCTTGGGTCTCTATTTCCTTCTTTGACCAATCAACAATGGACCGGTCTTTTCGGTCACGTTTTCCTGTTTGGTCTTCAAGCTTGGGCTATGATAATTCTTACTTTTATATTTTGTATCCTCGTTTTTAAAATTTTCTTGGGAACGTTACTCTGTCTTGGATGCAGTCTATCCCAATTTAAATGGTAAGAGTTATGTTAAATTCTTTAATTTCTAAATCTACTATTCGAAATACCTAACATGGAGATACATCAATCGTCCTCTGCGGAGAAACTTCAGTGCCAGATTTTTGGGTGGTAATTAAGGTGATGTTTTGTCACCAACGGGAAATGCGTAAGTCAAAATCTCGTGTACCAAACAGGCGTGATGTCGTTCTTTAAAAAATTAAAACTTTCTTGTTAAAAAAATATTTTATTCAGATATTGCAAATTCTAATTTTTTCTAAATTTTGTTTGGTACACGAGTGTTTTTTGTTTATTTTGGTAAATAAAACGTCTCATTAATCATTACCCAAAAACAGAGCACTTATGATAGTAGCTCCTCGGGGGACGATTTGACTCCAAATTATTTAGAGTGTGACATTTTTACAGTTTTGCGAAATTCAAGCGACCACATGATACCGATTATCTAATCTCTCGTTACACACATCTTCGCATAATTGTTGCCCAAGTAAACCTCTGCTATCGAGAAGTTATCCTTCCCGCCGTCTTAGTCACCATCTCGTTCGGAAACATATTGGGAACATATTTGACAATTTCGCTTAAGTCGGAGCTATTTCAACATTTAGGAAACGGCGTGTTTCCCACGTTTGCGACGGCCTCGTTCAATTCAATCTTAACGATAGGAACGCTTTCCGGGTATGTAAATTTGGGTTCGAAGCTGTATCGGAAACGATTATGCGGGATTTCTGAGGGGAACAGGACAAGGAGGAAACTGTTCGGAAAAATTGTAAGATCTTGTGCTCCCATGAAGATAAGATTTGCAAGCAATTTTATGGAGATAACGACCTCCTTAGTCATGATTAGCTGGTGTGCTAAGACGTGTGTTAGACTGTTATTGTTGTATAAATGAGTGCAAAATATGTAAAAAAAAATGTATTCACTCTTAGAAATCCAGTTACGGTTATTACCCGAAGGTGCATGTGCTCTGATAAGTTTGTCACCGACTGGTTATAAATGTTTTACAGTGGTGATAAGTTTGTAACCAGTCCGGGATAAATTAATAACCACTGCGATAGAGTCATAAATATACGTTTAGGTTTACTGCCTGGTTATAATCATGCCTGGATTTCTAAGAGTTCAATTTTTGCATCTGTATTGTTTTAACAATATGTTCAAGTTTTTTATATAGATATCAAAATTTTGTAATGTAAATATGTAGATGCACACTCGATTTAATTAGGTTGACGGCAAAGTAATAAAGAGTAAGCTTTACTCAGGATGTACATATGTATATGCATCCGTAGTCTCATTACTTTACATATTCCTCATGTTGATACTCGAGTTTTTGTAATCGCACTCTTATCAATTGTGTTACACTTTTGAAAATTAAATTCACTCTTAATTTTATATTAAGATACATATAAATAATATAATATAAAATATTTTTTGTTACATTATATTTTGGAGAACACGAGTATATAGATATAAAGTCAAATTTTGAAAATGATGGGTTTTAAAGAAGTTTGGGATTACCTAAACCAGAGTTTTTCCCATTCCCTGGTTTGGGTGGGTGGTGAAATTCTCTTTGTCCCACTTTTTCCTGCTGCGCTGGTAAATTCGATTTTTACCAGTCGAAACCCGTGTCCTTCTATTACCATACGGTAATGCCGATCTGTGCCGGCGAAGTCTTACATGCACTCCGATCGTCAGTGGCGATGGGCGATAATTTTAATCAGGGGGACATATTATTTAAGCGTCTACCCATATAGCGCTCAGAAAATTTGCGTTACCTACATAAATATTTTACCCTGAAGAATTTGTCTGAAAAAACAACAGTATTTGAAAAAACGTTACAAATTTCATCAATTATCTATGTTGAAATTGGATTGTAAAGGTAAGATTATTTTTGTACTGCTATGAACATAATTTATAAATTAGTGTTGAAATTTGTCCAATAAAATGCATGTCTTTGTATGTACATAAGTCCCACGAGATCGTGGAGACAAATGCATTTCATGTCCCCACGACAAAATTTCCGTGAGGACATTGCCCCTATGTCCTCACACTTCCACGGCCACTGCCGATCGGTGAATATTTAACACCATTGCTAACAGTGTATAAACCCCGACCTCACCAGTTACTTTTGTAGTTACGGCGTAGTTACTTTTGTCAACGGATTTGTTAGAGTGCAGTTGAACAGTATGATATTCGTATAAATTTGCAGCCATCAAAACTCATCTTTAGTCAATGGAATGGAATTTAGTCTGAGATAAGTCTTTATCTGGAAATGATAAGCAGAAGCCACATCAGCAACTGCGTATTATTTCTCTCGCCATTTTGCAACCTCGCCCAATACTCCAGTTTTTATTGCATAATCTTCAACAAAAAATATTACCATGGCTGCAAAATATCCAGAAACTACTGACCTGCCAGTCCCAGACCTATCAACCCTTACGCTAGATAATTCACCGCCCTCTGATTTCATTGACAAGATAACAAAGCTTGAATATTGCCTTGGTCATGGTGCTTTTGGTGTCGTTCTTAAGGCCAAAATCTCCTCAACATTCTACGCCGTGAAATTCCTCCTTCCCAACCAAATTCTTCCCGAAGAAAAGGCACGTCGGGAGTTCGAAATTCCGCTCACCCTAAGAAAACATGATAAAGTCGTACAGATTCACAAATTCGTAGAAGAGAAGGTCCTGTCGCACTCCCAAGTGGAACAGATTATCCAATTATCGGACCCCACCATTGAAGCTAGATACAAAATTGAACAACGTAAAGGGGCGCCCGTGAAATGGACTTGCATTCAAATGGAGCTCTGCGGACGGAGTTTGCGACATTGGCTAGAAAAATTCAAACCACCCAACGACTCAATTTATACTCAAATGAAACAAGCCGCCATTGCGGAAGACGTGATTGAGGGGATGCTATTTTTGCATAAGAGTGACGTCATACATCGTGACCTTAAACCCGAAAATATTATGTTCACTTCACTCGAATACAATCTGCCCGTTAAAATAGGAGATTTTGGTACGTTTGCAAAATTTTTGCAAGCAATTTTCAATTTGAATTATGTATGTATATTTTCAAAAGGCCTCGCGCGACGGATCCTTCCAGATGATGGTAGCACGCTCACAAGCAATATCGGCACGAGATCGTATATGGCACCGGAAATACTCGATGGAAAGTACTCGTACCAGGCAGACATTTTCTCCTTGGGGTTAGTTCTATGGGAATTGACAGCATTAATCCCGTCAACTGAAAGGCCCAGTTTATTCAACAAATTAGTGTATGATAAAGATGAGAAATTAGTACAAGAACATCCTCTCCTTGGTCCAGTGTTAAAACAATTTATCATATCCTGCACTAAAAGGAGCCCGATCGACAGATTAAAAAGTATGACTAAGGCCTCCGAACTACTGAATATAAAGAAAATAAAAATTCGCCCACAAGAAATCCTTGCGAGAACAAGTGAAGAGTTACAACTATGTCTCAAATTTATTTCCAGTGGATGCACCATCCGATTGGTAAAGACAACTTATTTCGTTGGCATTGGCCTGTGCTTGGACAACGTGAATATTATCGGTCAAGGATCAAACACCATTATTGATTTACGTCCCCCAAGAGGCATCTACATAACTGGAAGTCATTGTACCCTTTCAGATTTGAAAATCGCTTGTTATGCAAGAGAGGATACTCCAAATATATGTGTAACAAACTCACATAATAAACTACATGACGTTATCCTTACATTACAAGTGTGTCAGAATGGCGAAGAAGAAGCCGACGATTATGGAATTATTATATTGGGTGATAACCATATATTGCAACGGGTGACGATTGAAAACACGACGTCGGAATTATTTCTAATTTTTTTTTGTTGCCAACCAAACTTGGTCATTTCTGATTTGTATGTCACGACAGGACACGCTAAAATAGTCATCCTCAGCGACAATACTTCTTTTAAGCGTATTGACCTCTCAGACCTGATGGATAATCCTCTGCAAAGTGAATCCTCAATTTCAGAGTTGCCAAACGAACAATTAAATCGTCGAAATTGTCCCCCGGAATTGCGCATAGTTGTTGCAGGATTAAATTGTAATCTGGAAGAAATTAAATGTACTGGTATCATCGTTGATGCAAGCAATGCATCACTTCACAATGTGCAATGCTCTGGTGCGATTCAAATTTCAGGCGGACTGGAAGGAATCGCGTTGAAGAAATGCGAAGCGAAATCGATCGAAACAGATTCATCAGTCACCATCACAGATTGCAAACTCGGCGCCGTATCAAGCTCTTCCATAGATTGGCCAAAATTTAGAAAAGTATACGTATTAAGGACTTGGACGTATTAAGTATTTGGGGGTGGGGTCAGTCCACGTCGATGTCAATCATGTATTGCGGGCCAGGTCTCAGATTTTAGGGCAGATTCTAAAATTTCAAAAATTTGAAAAATTTGAATTCTAGCCATCATGTAATGGTAACTTCAAAACGCTATAACTTTTTGCACCCTGTCGTGTGCAACCCAAATTTCATAAATTATAACGTAATTTTAAATTTCTAACCCACCATAAAAAAATTAGGTCGCACACGATAGGGTGCAAAAAATTATATCGATTTTTCTGACACACATTAACACATGCAAGCTTATGTATGGGAATATTCCCAAAAATTATCAAAAAACAAGAGGCGTAAACAAAACTTTCAGTGACAAAATTAAAATGCCATACCAGTCAAGATTATTTTTAACGCTGAGTTAAAAAAATGTGACTAAAAAAATGTAGGCCTGACCGCGTCGACATTTAAAAAGTTAGTACGTGCTACGGCCACTGCTCGTGAGCATTACCATCAGTAGTGTCGCTCGGAGTGGAGAGACAACATCTCCGCTCTCATGACTCTCGCCCGATCGTGGATATTGGCGTGGACCGACCCGGTTATTCTCCGCGATATGTATCAGAATGTGGTAAATAGATAAGCAGATGTGGGTAATGCATTATCGATATTTTTGTCTAGACTAACAATGCGATGGTGTGAAGTGTAACCCTAAGAATTGGTTGAAATTTTGAAATTGTGTGGTCCAAGTTGATACAACCAATGTTTCATGAGGCAGTTTGTGCGATAGTCAGGATTTGACAAAATATTTGAGGGCAAAGTTGAAAAATATGCCATTTTTGCATGAGAAGAGAATGGAAGTTGAGTTTGCTTCCAACGCGTGCAAAAAATCACTCGTTTTTCAACTTTAATCTCAAATAATTTGCTAAATTCTGACCATCACACAAACTGCCTCAAGAAACATGGCTGTATTGACATGGACCACACAATTTCAAAATTTCAACCAATTCGGAGGGTTACACTTCACACCATCGCATTGTAAGTATAAAAAATCCCGAGTAACGTAACGTTAGCTTGATAAAGAGTAAGTCCTTGAGTTTAGTATGTTTTGCTTAATAGCGAATTCAGACTAAAGTTACTACTCAAAAGGCTAACATAATTTTGTAGAGTGATGCATATGCATTTGTTCAACTCATAATGATTGATAATTGCTTACATTAAACTCCAAAGTCTACATACATAACATGTGTAAATGTATCTCATTCTTATGTCCAGAATCTCTTAATTAAGGATTCACTAATTTTTCACATTAGACTGTGAATGCTATGTTTATGAAGGGGCCCTTTTATAAGAATTATGTTTCCGTCTGTCCGTACGATAACTGATGAACGATTTACCAAATTGACTTGAAATTTGGAACATAAATATCTCATGTAAAACCAATGGTCAATTTCGAAGGTGGGCGTGGCAGACTACACCCCCTCGCAAACCCGTAGGTTGTGGTCATACAAATTTTGGAATCAATTTTTTCCTTGCTAACACATTGTTGACAAAGGTATTTAACATGTTTTAAATGCATGGAGATAAATCGTCACCCGCGGAGGTATAGTGATCTATTTTTAAATAAAATTAAACCTAGGACTCGACAACTAAATAGGGAGCGTCCATAAATCACGTGATCGATTTTTGGACAATTTTGACCCCCTCCCCCCCCTTGGTGACCGTTGGTGATAATTTCGTTACCCCCCCCCCCTCGGTCACGTGACAGGAGATGATGCTCAAATTAAATCATGTCCGGAATAATAATATTATTCCAGTGTTTTTTAAATCATTAATCAAATTAGAGCTACACACATGTGTAAATAAATATTTAATGCGCCAGTAAGACATAGGAATTTTAAGTCGAGCAAGTTTCTAAATGTGCAAAATGAAAATCAAATGTATATAACGTGCGTGTGGTATGCTAGGAGAGTTTATATATAACTCTCCGATGACAGTTATTCACTCTAAATAAAATCATTACCAAATCATTACCAAAATGCACACGTATATGACTCTGCAGAAACGGTAATAATAACCACCAGCTGGTAAAGAAATTGATTTAACCCGAAGTGGTAATAAAGAACACTTTTTGGGATAAAATTAATACCATGATGTATGACAGATGTACTACAATATGTAGTAAAATGTCTACAGCTTGGTAATAAACCATACCACTTTGTACACGGTGTGCTATTCATACCTGTATTAATGCTTTGTTTTAGTATACCCCATTATTACCAAATGTTGTGCAGATTTCCACCGAAAAGAATAGATTTTTTTGCTTGTCTTTACAATAATCTTTCAATCAATTATATTTATTGTAAAACAGTTTTGAAACATACTTACATAATTAAAAAAATTAAGTATAATGCAAACTATTGAGTTACATACATACACATGTATACATATTTACATGAAATTTAAATTTGCTCCGATTTCCAACTTAAATTTTTGTTTAACACTGAAAAAATAAGCGCATAAGATTATTATTATCATGTATTTCCTCTTAAGTGGAACTGCGTTATCTTAAAGTATGCTGCGCAGTAAGTTGAGACTGAAATTCAGCATTATAATTTTTTGAGACGCAACTTCAAGGGCTTCCAGGGGTATAAAGCGTTTTTTCCTAAAATGCCGAAATTCGATAGAAATCGGGCTGAAAGTAAAAAACTTGTGAATCGAGTTTTTCAAAACTAAAAAAACGTCGCCCAACGTGACTCGAACATGACGTGGCAACACTTCAAAACGGAAGTATGTCACAAAACGAAAATCTGCGTTTATATTTCGAACTATTAGGATGACAAAAAGCGAAATTCAAACAACATTCGAGGCCACCACTCGTTATAGCCTCCCCAAAAACGTTGAAGCCGTAAAAAAATTCTTCACCACGAATCCTTCCAGATTAAGTCCTACGGAAGCTAGGGAACTGAAAACCTCAAAAAGCTTGTTGTGCAGCATTTTAGTTAATCAACTGGGGAATACAGAAAAAATCAAACCAAGTCTGGGAAAAAATGTTCACGACAAGAAAACCAGGGTGCAAAAAAGTTGCAAAAAAACCAGTCGACAAATGTCATGCAAAATTATCATCGTTTGTGACGAGACCTACGTCGACCCTGATTCCTTAAAGACTTCGAAAAGCACATATTTTCACTCTGGCAATCCAGTGAGTGTAGATTATCAACAGAAGTTGTACATGAGATCTAAATTCCCTTCACAATTCCAAGCAAGGTTTACATTGAGACAAAGGGGCTTAAAATAGAAAACCCTCCAAACGTCCCTATTTGCAAGAAATCGAAAAGATTTGGGCCTTGTGGAATAGAAGGTACTCTAGCCTTCGCTACAAGGCTAAAAATCTGGAAAAATTCGATCGCTAATGGCGAAAAATAATAAGGACATTTGGAATTTCGAGTGAAAATCGCAAATTTGAGGGTTGTTGCGGAAAATCTGATTGGTGACTAAGAATGAAGAAAGACAAATCCTTCGAAACAAAAACTGACATGTCTGGTTCCTACCAACAATTTACGAAAGGCTTTGTAAATATCTACTAAGCAGGTCGAAATGCACAGGTCATTGAGCGCGGTTCCACTTAAGAGAATATGGATCATAGCTCTTCCTGTAGTGATGGTGCTCGATCACTATCTTGATAAAGCATCTACAAATGATAATTTGATACTTACCTGTTTCCAAAAATTCTATATAATTTCCAATTTTTTCATTGAAAAACTTCTGGACAGAATGGATTAATTTCGCCATGTTGACTTGAGTTGTGCTGAGCGGAAACTAAAACTGACAAATGCGCCACTATTTAGCGTCTCACAATTAACGCCAAATGTATTAAAATTCTTACCTCCATGGTAATAAACTACACCAAAATGTAGATCTCATTAGCACCGCAGGTTGTACTGCACTTTACTAAAATTATGGTAAAGAGTGTTATCTACATTTGTAGGATATAATTACCGGCTCGTAGGAGTTTATTACCAAAATTATAAAGATAACTTAAAACATTGCGGTGGAAGGCTAGTTACCCGTTTGGTATTGATACGGTAATAACCCCGTATAATTTTTGTAGGACGCGTAATTACCAAGAGCTCGGTAAAGATGCTTGTTAAGAATTCTTTACCAAGTTGCTAAGAGTGTTTCAGACCCCCTCCCCCCCTCTAATCGATCACGTGATTTATGGACGCTCCCATAACGATATAATCTGCAAAATATTCAGACTTAATGGAGCTGGTTTTAGTAATTTCCCGGCTCTGGAAATTTATTTGAAAATTCTGGACGACAGATTGGTAGCCAGTTATGTACTTGAAAGAATTACAGTGACTGTTTAAAATTCATGCAAGTCAGTGTAGACTATCGTAGTTCCAATTTTTCTAAAGGCCTCTGATACTTGAGATTCCTTCTTTCGAAAAATTGTCAAAATCTTGCGTCCATATTTTAAAAAAATCGACGAAAATATTCGCTTTGCAAATTCGCGGTCCGGAATTTTTTAATCAGTTCCCAGAGCAGAAAAATGATTAAACCTGTGCTTAATTTCGCGACTGGTCAAACACATATTTTTGCATGAACGTATCGAATTTTTAAATAACGGCGTCAATTATGTCCTGTACGAGCTTTTTTTACTTAAATATTTTTATTTAATTTGTCTCCAACTTACATATTTAAAGTGTAACATATATATTTTAACCAAATTTATTTAGAGCGTACCCTATTTAAAAGGAATCACGATTGCAACAGTAAAACAAGCAATCTCTACCAAATCCTGAGTAAGCTTTACTCTTTTCAAGCCAACTTAATTTTAGGTTTACTACAGTCTGCTTAATTTAGCATTGAAATCGCGATTATTTTTCAAAAGGGTAAAAGTATTTCTAAGAGAGTACATTTTGTAGCACAGCTTAAAATTGTGCAAACATACATATTCAGTGAAAGTGGTGATGATACTAAGCATTGTTTATGTATGCAAGTGCATATGTATGTAATGAATCAATATTGGTATTCCATTCCCTACTAGGGTAAAACCTTGTTCGATACGTTTAGCACTCCCTCTCTCTACTTTACCCACGATAATCTGGTTGCTATTTTCACATTCAGATTTTTAAACTGCGTAACAGCACACACTTCTTCCAATATACACGAAAACTCCTCAAATTATAAGACAGAAATATATATGTACATACACTCTTAAAACCCCAATTTTAATCGTTACCGCGTGGTGTGCATATATGACTTCACCGCATGGTGATAAATATTGATGGCAAATTGTCACTAGCAGTTATTAATTTTTGCGAGAAACATTATCACCCCGCGGTGAAGTCACATATGTATGTATGCACACCGTTCAGTGACGATTGACACTAGGTTACCAACCTCTTTCAACTTTATTTATCTCGATTAAAATTTCCGTTGAGTACGAAATTTAATTCATAACTGCATTTGGTAGCAACCCATTGAATTTCCATGATTTTCTGTAAAAACCCAATATTTATTTCAACCAGTTTCCAAGTTTTGTTTTTTTTGCGAAAATCACGATAACTCCACTTTTTAGCATTGGTCGGTATAGGGAAAATTCCAGAATTTGTGAAGAAAAATATCCAAAAAGTCATCTTTTTACCATCGAGTTTTCCACAAAATACCAAAGAAACACTTGGATTTGAGAAAATTTGAGAAATCTGGGTTTTTTTAAAAATACGTGATATGACGTATTTGGTCCTCAAGGGACAGTCGTCATGGTACGTCATTTTTTTTTGATACATGATATGACGTATTTGGTCTCCAAGGGACATATTTTGAAATACGCGATATGACGTATTTAAGTGAAAAGAGGTTAAGAGTGTACATACATATCATTATTCTGCATGATCTTAAAACTTAAATATGTGAACAGAAATGTTTAATTGATTTGGATACAGGCGCGTGTGTAAAGAAAAG